TTTGTGAGTTTAAAATTTCCATCAGCTTTGAAACTTTGCTTGCCTTTTGTTTCCTTCTTTAGGTTTTTTTTTTTTTTTTTTTATCATTTTTTAGTGGATCACTTGTGATGTGTTACTGTTTTTATTCTGCCTTGGGTTCATTGTGCTTCTTTGTGAGTTTAAAATTTCCATCAGCTTTGAAACTCTCCAGCCATTGTTTTGTCAAATGTTTTTTTCCATCCCCCTTCTTTTGTTTGTCTGCTTAATATTGTCCCACAAATTGCTGAGCCTCTGTTCACTTTCTTTCTAGGCTTTTTCCTTTCTATGGTTCAGTTTGTGTAGCTTTTATTGCTGTCTTAGGATTAGATTCACTGACCTTTTCTTTTGCAGTATCTAATCTGCTTTTATCCCTATCCAGCAAAATTGTCATTTTAGATATTGCTGTATTGTTGTCTACATGTGTACCTGTGTAACCACACATATATTTTATTGGTTGTCATTGTTTTTGCAAATTTGTTATAGTATTTACCAGGATTGTCCCTTATTCTTACCTACTTCTTAGAGTCTTCATTTACCTTGGACTAGTTGTGCAAACTTCACCCATGTTGGATATTGCCTTTCCTATAACCATCAGAGAACGTTGCTTTCTGTGTGTATACCTATTCTTAATTTTTTTACAAAAGTGGTACCATACAGTATTTGTCCTTTCATGATTGACTTATTGCACTTGGCATAACGTCCTCCAGATTCATCCATTTTTGTAAGATGTTTCATGGACTCCTCCTTCTTTATAGTTGCATAATATCCCGTCGTATGTATGTACCACAATTTGTTTATCCATTCATCTGTTGATGGGCCCTAGATTGTTTCTGTCATTTTGCTATTGTGAATAATGCTGCAATGAACATAAGTGTGCATATGTCTATTCTTGTCACTGCTCTTATCTCTCTAGGCTGTATACCTAGGAGTGGGATTGCTGGATCATAAGGTATTTCTATTTTCAGCCTTTTGAGGAAGCGCCATATTGTTTTCCATAGTGGTTGTACCATTTTACATTCCCACCAGCATTGTAAAAGACTTCCAGACCCCCACAACCTTGCCAGCATTTGTTGTTTTCTTTTTTTTGATCATTGGCATTTTTGCAGGGGTGAGATGGTATCTCATTATAGTTTTGATTTGTATGTCTCTAATGACTAATTATTGTGAGCATTTTTTCCTCTGTTTATTGGCTGCCTAAATGTCCTCTTTGGTGAAGTATCTGTTTATGTCCTTTGCCTATTTTTTGATAGGATTTTTTTTTTATTGTTGAGTTATTGACATTTTCTGTATATTTTAGAGATTAGACCCTTATCAGATATGTCTGCCAAAGATTTTTTCCCAGTCTGTAGGTTCTCTTTTTACTCTCTTAGAGAGTCTTTTGATGAGGATAGGCATTTAATTTTTAGGAGGTCCTAGTTATCTAATTTATATTCTGTTGTTTGTACATTTTTGGTTTCGTTTGATATTCTACTTATGCTGAAGACTAGGTCCCCAAGTTGTGACCCTGTGCTTTCTTCCAGGAACTTCATGGTTTTGGCTTTAACGTTTATGTCTTTGAGCCATTTTGAGTTAGTTTTTGTGCATGGTGTGAGGTATAGATCCAGGTTCATTTTTCTGCATATGGATATCAAGTTTTGCCAGCACAATTTGTTGAAGAGACTGTTTTTGCCCCATTGAGTGGACTTTGACCCTTTGTTGAAGATCAGGTGCCCATAGATGGCTGGATTTACTTGGGGTTCTCAGTTCTGTTCCATTGGTCTATGTGTCTGTCATTGTACCAGTACCAGGCTGTTTTGACTACTGTGGCTGTATAGTAAGTTTTGAGATCAGGAAGTGAGAGACCTCTTACTTTGTTGTTCTTCTTCAATGTTGCTTTAGTTGTTTGGGGCCTATTTCCTTTCCATATAAAGTTGGAAATTAGTTTTTCCATTTCATCAAACAATGTTGATAGGATTGGGATTGCATTATACCTATAGATCACTTTTGGTAGTATTCACATTCTCACAGTGTTAGTCTTCCAATCCATGAGCACGGAATGTTTTTCAACTTATATAGATCTTTTAGTTTCTTGCAGTAGTGTTTTATAATTTTCCTTGTATAAACTTTTTACATCCCTAGTTAGGTTTATTCCTAGATATTTTATCCTTTTGAGGGCTACTGTAAACGGTACTGATTTTTTTTTTTTTAATATTTTATTGTACTTCAGGTGAAGGCTTACAGAACAAATAGTTTCTCATGAAACAGTAGTACACATGTTGTTTTATG